ATGTTCCATTGATTAATCACTTCGTCCCCTCCATTTACTCAGCAGTAACTTCTTGGTGTCGTTATGGTATCCGAGTGACCTGCTAGAAAGGGTTACTGATGTCAGCTAGCGTTCACTGTACAACTGCAGCTTCATTGTCTCTCTTATTTTCTGATGAATTTGTGTGCTCAGTTAGGTGTATAATTTATATGCATACCCCTACTTTTTTTATTTATTTTTTTAAAAGTACCCCCCCCCCATTGCATTATTTGTGTAGGATGGATTCGAAGATTTGTAGTTAAGGGGTTTTTTTTTAACTAATTTTTTTTCTGAATGATGGGGAGATGAGGCTTCTTATCTTCTATGTTATATTTTATAAGTAGAGACTTTCTTGATTTATCTATGTGTACATATATGGTAAGTTTAATAATGAAGCTTTACACTTCCTCTACTTTGAATCAAGTTTAAATGCTTACTTGAGTATAGGTGGGGTTTGTGTTTAATTTTGTACTTGGAATATTTCTCTTTTTCTGGTAAGATCCACAGATCCGTTACGGTGGGTGGTTTAATGTGAGGCGGTAGCCAGATCTTTTGGCACCATGACATCAAAGGGATGAATGCCTTATTTTCTGAACGTGCTGCCCAAGCACAGACAGGTCTCACATTTGCAAAACTTTGAGGAAGATGTTAAAATTCTGGGTTTGGTTGGGGTTTTTTTAACATAGCAGCCAGATGCAATGTGTAATTCCTAGCTCTGTCTCAGGCATATATCTGCTTTTCAAGGAGGTTGTCTTTGCAGCTGCACTTTCCTTTCAGGCTTGCTTGTAGTTCCTGGCATCTCTTCCACCTTTAAGGAGAGAAAAGTTGAGAAAAAACCAAAATATTTATTTTAAATTTGAAATATATATATATATCTATCTCCTGGCTTCTCCTCCTGTACTTATGAAGTGTCTTGGCTGGAAGCTCTCCCGGCTCCGAGCAGACTGCTTTTCCTAAGAGATCCTTTCTGCATGTGGTTGCCTTGATGCTCTCGCCGGCAGGTCTGGAAACCAGGTGACAGCAGGGCAGGGAGCACGCTGCCCCCCCCCCTGCCCACCTCCCTCTGTCTGAGGGACAGAAACT